TTTTTTAAGCTGACGCACCTCCTCCCTAAAAGAGTCCAACTCTGTCCTCAGGGCTCCCACTAGAGTCACCAGGTCCTTCACTACAACTTCCATATTGCTATGATAATATAACAACACTCAGGAGCTCCGGTTAACACAACCTCTCACTGTGACTTCACCTGACCGACTGACTTCACCTGACCGACTAAGTAGCTACTTGTGGATTACAGTACGATATCTAGCTATAGGATTTCATAATTGCTGTTGTGTATAAAACTAGAATGACAGCTATTTATTAAAACTATTATTGTAAACTAATACTTTAAGTGGATCCCTTGGTTGTTTTAAGCATAAGGTGGACATGAATATGAAGAGATTGGGTGGAGATATATAGGAGCCTCTTATGGGCCAATAGGCCTTCTGCAGTTACCTTTATTCTTATGTTCAGCTCACCTACAATGCTGCCAGATGTACGATTCTACAAAAAATTGCGGTATGACATTTGGGTTGCTGTTATACTTTTGCACTTATCACCGAATAATGATTACAGTTGTGGATAATTAAAATGTATATTCTTAAACCTCTGATTAGGTTAGGTGGGGATGGATAGTCTAGTCATTTTTTAATAATAATATCAAATTCACATGCCAGTAGGACGCTAAAGGTTGCATTGGTTATCTGGTGATGTCACGCATAGTTGACCAGTCAGGTGCTGTGATACCTTGACACTTATATGCTAATGGCCATCAATACCTTATCCCTATACCTGAGGTCGCTTTTTGTGATGTCACTAAACAACAACTGGTCTGTAGAATGTATTTGTTTGTTATATATAATAAGTTAGGTTAGGTTGGTTTGATAGGATTTATGAATAACAGAAAATATAAGCAATGAGCGAAAATACGAGCCGATGTAGCCGAATATCGACTCTGGTTACAAGAACTTACCTACTGTGCGGTAAGACATACAATTCTTCTTAAATTGCAGTACGACATTTGGGCATCTATTTGAGTTTTGAACTTATCACTGAATAATGATTACAGTTGTGGATGACTAAAATGTATGTTCTTAAACCTCTGATTAGGTTAGGTGGGGATGGTTAGTCTAGTTATTTTTAAATAATAACATTAAATACAGTGCATATACAGGTAGGACGCCAAAGGTCGCATTGGATATCTGGTGACGTCACACATAGTTGACCAGTCAGGTGCTGTGATACTTTAACACTTATAGGCTAATGGCCATCAATACCTTATCCCTATACCTGAAGTTGCTTTTCGTGATGTCACTAAACAACAACAACAACAATTACTGATCTGTGCAATGTATTTGTTTGTTATATATAATAAGTTAGGTTAGGATAGTTTAATCAGGTTTATGAATAACAGAAAATATAAGCAATGCGCGAAAATACGAGCCGATGTAGCTGAATATCGACTCTGATGAAGCACAGAGTATAGGTGAGGTATTAAGCCTGATTAAGAGTTCACACTTATGTGTGAACCTCCTAGGATCCGCATTTAGCGCGTTAACGCCTTGCATCACATTAGGGATGATGACGTCAGAAAAGAAGGTAACTACAGAAGGCCTTATTTCAATACATGAGAGGCTTTGCTTTTACTGAATGAGTATTTTGATTTGATATATTCTACAGCAAGGTGTGGGAGGCATGTTTTTTGAGCGAATGTGAGATGTGTATACGGTTAGGGACAATATCGCTGCAGTTGAATCTCACCGGGCTAAAGAAAAAACATTGGGCCAACTCGCTGCAGTTGAATCTCACCGGGCTAACGAAAAATGATGGGGCCAACTCGCTGCAGTTGAATCTCACCGGGCTAACGAAAAAACATGGGGCCAACTCGCTGCAGTTGAATCTCACCGGGGTAACGAAAAAACATGGGGCCAACTCGCTGCAGTTGAATCTCACCGGGGTAACGAAAAAACATGGGGCCAACTCGCTGCAGTTGAATCTCTGGGCTAACGAAAAATGATGGGGCCAACTCGCTGCAGTTGAATCTCACCGGGCTAACGAAAAAACATGGGGCCAACTCGCTGCAGTTGAATCTCACCGGGTAACGAAAAAACATGGGGCCAACTCGCTGCAGTTGAATCTCACCGGGGTAACGAAAAATGATGGGGCCAGGAGCCGGCCTTTTAATCCCCAGGTAAGTTGATGCCTGTGCAGGGGTCAGCGGGGTAACGAAAAATACACGGGCCAAAGACCGGCCTTGAAAGAAAATTCGAGAAAACCCTGGGGCCAATGACCGGCTTTTTAATCCCCTTTAACATGCCGGTGCAGGGTCACTGAGCTAACGAAATTTTGGGATGACTGGAGGCGGCCGTTTAATCCCCTTGAGCGAAAATGGCAGGGACCAATGGCCGGCATGGTGAAAACAGTTCGTAAAACCCAGGGGCCAATGACCGGCTTGGGAAAAAAAGTTCGTAAAACCCAGGGGCCAATGACCGGCTTGTTAAAAAAAAATCGTAAAACCCAGGGGCCAACTCGCTGCAGTCGGAAAATGCAAAATTGCAGCGAGTTGGCCCGGTTTACACTACTTACTTACAGTAGCCGGTCCTCATCACACACTACTTACAGTAGCCGGTCCTCATCACACACTGCTTACAGTGGCCGGTCCTCATCACACACTACTTACAGTGGCCAGTCCTCATCACACCCTACTTACAGTGGCCAGTCCTCATCACACCCTACTTACAGTGGCCAGTCCTCATCACACCCTACTTACAGTGGCCAGTCCTCATCACACCCTACTTACAGTGGCCAGTCCTCATCACACCCTACTTACAGTAGCCAGTCCTCATCACACACTACTTACAGTGGCCAGTCCTCATCACACACTACTTACAGTGGCCAGTCCTCATCACACACTACTTACAGTGGCCGGTCCTCATCACACCCTACTTACAGTGGTCGGTCCTCATCACACACTACTTACAGTGGCCAGTCCTCATCACACACTGCTTACAGTGGCCGGTCCTCATCACACACTGCTTACAGTGGCCGGTCCTCATCACACACTGCTTACAGTGGCCGGTCCTCATCACACACTACTTACAGTGGCCAGTCCTCATCACACCCTACTTACAGTGGCCGGTCCTCATCACACACTACTTACAGTGGCCAGTCCTCATCACACCCTACTTACAGTGGCCAGTCCTCATCACACCCTACTTACAGTGGCCGGTCCTCATCACACACTACTTACAGTGGCCGGTCCTCATCACACACTACTTACAGTGGCCAGTCCTCATCACACACTACTTACAGTGGCTAGTCCTCATCACACACTACTTACAGTGGCCGGTCCTCATCACACACTACTTACAGTGGCCAGTCCTCATCACACACTACTTACAGCGGCCGGTCCTCATCACACACTACTTACAGTGGCCGGTCCTCATCACACACTACTTACAGTGGCCAGTCCTCATCACACACTACTTACAGTGGCCGGTTCTCATCACAAACTACTTACACGGAGAAGTGCACTCCGCCTAGGTGTGTTAACTATGGTATTTTTGTTAGATGTGAATAATATTCTTGACTTGAGTTTGCATGTTCTTGCACGTTTCCCTCCCACGGATGATAGACCTTACGTTCACTCAAATCAAATTAAGAACTTTATTCGTAAATGGTTGTCCATTTATAATTAAGTTAGTGTCCCCCACAAAAAAATACTGATATTATTTGCCTAACAATAATCCAAAAAAGTAGCGTAACACGTAACCTATATAATATATGCCTAGAACAAATCCACAAGGGCAGTGACGAGTATTCGAACCTGCGTCTGGGAGCATCCCAGACAATGCCTTAATCGACTGAGCTACGACAGGGTTAAAGGGTTGAAACCAAACCGAAGTTCTACTGAGTTCTACTATCTCTGTGTGTGATGATGTAAGGGCGAAGAGGGAGAACGGCCTATTGATATAGCTCGGGTGCAGGGGGGGGGGTTGTGTAAAAGCCTGGTTTGTGCCTCGGAGAGGCTACGGGATCCAGTAAGTTCAGTAGAACTTCGGTTTCAACCCTTTTACCCTGTCGTAGCTCAGTCGATTAAGGCAGTGTCTGGGATGCTCCCAGACGCAGGTTCGAATCCTCGTCACTGCCCTTGTGGATTTGTTCATTTGATGCATCACGTTAGTGTGATCTCTGTGTGTGATATGCCTAGAACCCTTACATTTTACTAATTTGCGATTAATAACAATTTATTGAACACAAAGAAATCACAATTGAGATATCAAAGAGAAAATCACTTGGAGAACTGCAGCTATTTAAACCAGTGTTCTAGCAACTCTCAGACACTTGCCTTAATATATTAATGCATTTGGACACGATAGGACAAAAGCTATTCAACCCGAAACTGTATTCAGTCCTGGTGGGAGAATCTTGAGGCCGCAACTAGTGCTACAACCAGGTTTTTCAAATTCTCGCATTGCTTCAAATGACTTTCTCAATCACTGCAAATATATCTGAAGAGTACATGATTAACGCCATTTAAAACCTTAGAACTTCCAATGAGACTTACATTAGCATCAGAAAATCTAACATTCGTTATGTAAAAACGATACCCACCGCATAGGTTCGAATCCTCATCATGGCTCCTTTGGATTTTCTCATTGATATATCACGTTTGTGTGATTATTATCTGCGTATTCCTTAAATAAGTCTTCCTGTAGAGCAGCATGTTTCCATCCACCAGGGAGGCGTGAAGGTCGTGGTGTACACAGATGTCTGTTTGTTTTCTTCCAACAGGGCCGTGGTGTACACAACGTCTGCGTGTTTTCATCAACCAGGGAGGAGTAAAGGCCATGGTGTTTACTAACGTCTGCGTGTTTTCATCAACCAGGGAGGCGTGAGGGCCGTGGTGTACACTAACGTCTGCGTGTTTTCATCAACCAGGGAGGCGTGAGGGCCGTGGTGTACACTAACGTCTGCGTGTTTTCATCGACCAGGGAGGCGTGAGGGCCGTGGTGTACACTAACGTCTGCGTGTTTTCATCAACCAGGGAGGCGTGAGGGCCGTGGTGTACACTGACGTGCTGCAGACGCTGCTGATGTTCGTGGGAGTGCTGGTTGTGGTGGTGGTCTGTTGTGTTAACTTGGGCGGAGTTGCTACCGTCTGGCACATTGCTGACCATGGCTCACGACTCGAGTTTTTCAAGTAAGTTGTGTGTTACTGAAACTGTTGTGATTTAATAAGGGTCAAGATTGCCAGAAACGTCATATCATTCCTTTGCTTTAATGAACGTGGGTTTCGCTATCTATTTTCAGTTATGGTATTGTAACTTATTCTCTGGTTTAGAAATATATTTAAGATGCACCTTGATCGTAAATCTTGATTGTATCACCTTTAGACTGCTGCTTGTAATCTCGGCGAAGTCAGACCACGAGTAGGAGTTAACATAAGTAGCATAAGTAGCATTGGGCAGAGCCGCATCACATAGAAAACGACCATCTAGAGTCATAAAAGACCAGAAATAGGTCTGGTACGCTCAGTCAGAGGTACCTTCTAATATCAGTAGAAGAATGTAGAACTTTGTTATGTCGGTGGCCCTACCGATGGTATCAATACACTCTTCTATTCTCGGAAGGGGGGTATGTATCGGCTACTGTGACCTTGTTAACCTGCATTCTTAAATTAATGCAGAATTTATGCTCATTACCAAGCGTAAGTACTAGCAGACAGAGGATGACCATGGACTAATTCTTGGGGTGATCAATTTATGTTTGGGCATGTAGTGTATCTGAAGTACCACCTCCTTCTTGCGGGGCTAAGTCGGTAGGGATGTTGCTTTATAGGTCTCACACCTTCCTCCAGGATAACGTCATGCTTCAAGACGGACGTCAGCCCTAGAGCATCTCTGAAAATAGACATATTGTTTTATTAAATCTATGAGGGATCGTTGATGCTCCTCAGGCACATGAGGAGCTTGGGAGGTAGAGTTATAAGAATCTCTGAATTTCTTGATACCTGCTTATCAACATCCTTCATCGCCTCCTGGTCTTGTTCCCTCTCGACAACCATCGTTACTGGTTGAATGTCTCGCCCTTTGTTCCGCTTCACCATGTTTATGTACCAACATCTACTTCTTGTCCGTCCACTGTTCCTTGGTGACTTCTAATTGTCCTCTCACCGTGTGACCATATACCATCTCGAATGGAGATAGTCCCTGGGACGCACTCAGCACTGGTCGTATGGCAAAGAGGAGATAAAAACAAAAGATACTGAAGAAATATCTGGCTAGATGATGGAAACCTTTTGCAAGCCTGCAATGTCCATAATTTGCCATTTCCAACAGTTTGGTCCGGAACATTGAGGGTACGGAGGGTACGACTATCTTTGTACATACCTCTGGAATCTGGGGAGTTCTTGGTGGATACCTCTGGCACAGTACCTTGCCCTTCCAGAAGTACTGGTCACCAGCCTTCGCACCAGACTATGGCATCTGCGAGTGCTTGCACCTGGAGGTCCTCGGTTATCAAGGTCGCTTTAGTCCATTGCTTCGGTTCTGGACTAGAGTCTAGAGAGTTTGATGGAGTGCAGTCGGCAACCTGTGGGGTAGGTGTAGCAACCTCTGGGGTAGGTGTAGCAACCTGTGGGGTAGGTGTTGGGTCAAATTAGTCATCTAATCCCAACTGAGTCTGTACCTGGGATCTGGTTTGTACTGCTACTACAGGTTTTACCATATCTTCTACCGAATTTGCTACAGCCATGTGATGGTTACTGTCCAAACCCAAAGCGAAGTCTTTGGCTAGTATTACCTCTATCCCCTCTTTAGGAAGATGGTCCACTACTGCCAATGTACACTTGTCATTGAAAAATGGCGACTCCAAATTTGCCTCTACTAAGGAAGCAACGTACAAAGTCGAGGGAAACCCATCTAAAATAAAACTTTGTTTCCCATCAGTAGGCACTTCCTTTGGTAAAGAGTTCTTAAAAATCAGCGATTGGGCTGCTCTACTATCTCTGAGAATTACTTCCAGCCTGCCTGACTCGTCACTCGATACATACCGTTTCGAAGTGTAGGGGGGAAAACATACCTGGTTTCTCTGTATTTGTCCATAAGGAATGGGTCTCCACTGGTGGTGTCCCACCAGAAAACCCCCCCTATGTGGGTTGTTATATGTCCTGTTCCTACACTGAGCAGACTTGTGCCCTTTCTTCCCACATGCCCAACACACTCTTTCTGTCTCTCCTTGGACTAGTTCGTCTTGGACTACTTGGGGTTGTCATCACAGCACCACGTGGGACGGTTCTCTCATCCGGTTTATACTTTGAAAACGGGTTTCAGTATCTCTTTGTGACTTACCTGGTGGAGGGCCTATGGGTTAGAATGTATTCTTCCGACATGGTGGCTGCAACACCCAAAGTCTCTACATTCTGTTCCTCCATGTACGTTTTCAGATCATCTGATAAACACTTCTTGAAATCTTCTAACAAGACTAGTTGTTCTAGCTGTTTTTTAGTCTCAATCCTCTGAGACGTGCACCATTCGTAGAACAATCACGCCTTAATGCAAGCGAACTTATAAAAATGTGCTCTGATGTTCTCTTAAGGTTGCGAAACTTCTGCCTGAATGAACAAATCCACAAGGGGCGTGACGAGGATTCGAACCGACGTCCGAGATTATCCCAGACACTGCCTTAATCGACTGAGTTACGACATGGTCAAAAGAGTTGAAACCAGAAGTTGTACCTAACTTATTTGGATCCTGCAGCCTTTCCGAGACCCAAATCAGGGTTTTACAAAACTCCCTCCCCCCATGCACTCGAGCTATGTTAATAGGCCGATCTACCTCTTCCATCTTACTTCATTACACACAGAAATCACAATAGCGCGATGCATCAATGAACAAATCGACAAGGGCCGTGACGAGGATTCGAGCCTACGTCCGAGATCATTGATGCATCACCCTATTGATGATTTCTGTGTGTAATGAAGTAAGAGTAGAACGGCCTAATGACATAACTCGAGTGCATGGGCGAGTTGTGTAAAACCCTTATTTGTGTCTTGGAGAGGTTGCAGGATCCAAGTAAGTTAGGTACAATTTCTGGTTTCAACTCTTTTGACCATGTCGTAGCTCAGTCGATTAAGGCAGCGTCTGGGATGATCTCGGACGTAGGTTCGAATCCTCGTTACGGCCTTTGTGGATTTGTTCATTGATGCATCACGCTATTGTGATTTCTGTGTGTTCTGCCTGTATGCTTCAGGCACCAACAGGAAAGCCATCAACACTACCTTCTTTACAGCTTCGTAATTACTAGAGTCACTTACTGACAGTGTGGAGTACGCTGTTTGGGTCTTTCCAGTCCGCGCTGATAGAATCATAATTGCCCAAATGTCTCTTGGAAAGTCTAATGACGCAGCTCCTTTTTCGAAGGGGTCAAAGAACTTTGTCACCTCATTACACACAGAAATGTCAATAGCGTGATGCATCAAATGAACAAATCCAAAAGGCCGTGACGAGGGTTCGAACCTATATCCGAGAGAATTTTTCCATGTCGTAGCTCAGTCGATTAAAGCAGCATATGAGATACTCTCGGACGTAGGTTCGAACCCTCGTTACGGCCGTTGTTAATTTGTTCATTGGACACCTCCTTCTCTTTTAATTTGTGCATCAATTTAATATTCCGCACTGGGATGAAACTACTGGCGTCCCTTCTACCACCTAATCTTAGCACCTTAAATTCGTGTTGCCTTTCTTCTCTGGCTTTCTCCCTCTCTTCTTCTCCTCTCCTTTCTTCTCTTTCCAAACGTTTTAATTCGATCTCACGTTTTATTTCCATTTCCTTCTTTTCTCTTTCTTTCTTTCTCTCCCTTTCTTCTCTCCTTTCTTTTTCTTTCTTTTTTTTTCTCTCTGTAGTTTTATCTTTTTCCACTATTTCAGGATGTATTCATACTTCTCGCATTTTCACTGTCAATAGGTTCACATTTGGTTCACCTGGGGTCACTATCATCATCATTTCCTTGGTTTCTCTTTTCAGTGGAATCTATGACTCACTTTCCTTTGCTACGGTCTAGACTTTCTTGTTTGTCGTTTGGTTTGAAATGTCTATATTCTTTCGAAAGGATTTCGACACGAATCTTTTTCGTTCGCTTTTATTTCAAGGTAGGCACTTATCAACACTAATTCCAGTTTCCCTAAATACGTCAATTTGGTGAGGCAACTCAGGTGGTTTAGGAACTCCTGAACATCTTCCAATGTGTCAAGGTGGGTTTTTCTGTCATTGTTCACTTTCTTACCACTGCGCTTCTTATTAACACCTAACACTGCACTTACACACAAAAGGGGAAATCTGTACAAGGGGATTGCAAGAATCACTTGTCCAATTCCGTCTAACTTACCTGTCTATATAGAAGTCGGATCTCGCTGGGGATGCCAATTATGTTACGGCATCACTTAGCCAGTAACCGGGTTCTTTATTTCAATTACCTAGTGCTTTTACTTCATTGGTCCCACTCCAAGTCATTAGAAAGTTATCAAGAATTGGCACTAACAAGTAATCGTAAAAAGGAAAGTGGGGTAAACAATACTAATGAGCACCTTCACGAATTACACTTCTTAAATTATCTCTCTTTCTCTCTCAAAAATAAATAAATAAATATATATATATATATATATATATATATATATATATATATATATATATATATATATATATATATATATATATATATATATATATATATATATATATATATATATATATATATATATATATATTTATTTTACACAACTTGCCTAAACACGCAAGAGAGATTATACAACCTTAGAACACTTTCCCACCAGGAGATTCGAACCCTAACCAGCACAGAAGCCTTACAGCAACTGGCATAACTGGTACGCCCTTAACCCACTGCACCACAGCTCAGACCCTTAATAGAGATGATAATTTCGGAGTATTTCACCTCCAAAGATCACCACCTTCCAAGGGCAACTAGAACATAGTGAGGGACTACTCACGTTCTTTCATCAAATTCCTGTTAATATGGGAGAACTCTGTGTCTATGCTCAATGCACAACTTGCCTAAACATGCAAGAGAGATTATACAACCTTAGAACACTTTCCCACCAGGAGATTCGAACCCTAGCCAGCACAGAAGCCTTACAGCAACTGGGGTAACTGGTACGTCTTTAACCCACTGCACCACAGCTCAGA